GCTAACAGCCATTTGGGGGGAAACCACTGCCTCTCAGTTGTCAACAACATGGGTACAAGGGTCAGTGTTCAAGCTGAGTCGGCATTTACCCGGTGATCAAAGAGGCAATCAGTATGGGGGAATGCCTGGGCCAGAGGGGCATTTCATACCCAATATTATAGGGCCATCTCATACCCAATAGTCTTGCTTTCCCATATATCTAATGAAGTGATTCTTAACCAACTAGGAGGGATTTTGCCTCCCTGGGGACTCTTGGCAATGTCCAGAGGCATTTTTAGTTGTCACCAATAGGGGAGGTGCTACTGGCCTCCAGTCATAAAGGCCAATAATTCTGCCAAAAATCCCTCCAGGCACATGGTAGCCTCTCACAACAAAGAGTCCTCTGGCCCCAAATGCCAATAGTGCCAAGATCTAAGGGGCTAAGGGTCAACATGCTAGTTTAAAGGGTGCTGAGAAGGCTGAGCTTCTCCTGGTAAACGGCACAGAGGTACCAACTAAAGCAAGATCCCAATCACAAGAAGCAAACGGTGGTGGTTACCTAAAAGGGAAGGTCAGAGGTGGACCATGGTGTCTTTAAATTTTTTTTTAAGCAGCCCAGATGACACATCTGAAAGACGAATGCAGGGATGAGGTAATTAGGAGGAAACATTGGAGTTAAAGTCAGTCCAAAGGGAGAAGCCTGTCACCACCACCCTGCTTCTTTGTCTGCATCACAGTTGTTGGAGGCAACACAGTCTCCACCAGCAGCCTCAGCCAACTCATTCTTAGGGATCCTTTAGTGCTATGTTGGGCCAGAGAACTCAGAGTGCCTTCTAGAGGCAGACTAACATGCACTATCTGGAAACAAGATTTTGTGTCCTGGTGAAAATGACAGTCTGCTCTGAAGTTGTCCACAGATTGGGGAGTAAGAGACCCCTGAAGAGTGTTAAACCTCCAGCTATCCAGTTACTGCTCTATTGCGTCAACCAAAGTGAACCTAGAGGATAGTGTGGTCGTGGGGAGATGATGGCTATTTTTCAACCGTGAAAGAAACCATGCCTAAAAGAGTTATGAAAAATGAAGCACTTTCCTCACTAGGAAAGAATTATCCATTTCCTTCTTCCATTGCCAAAGGCTGTTTCCTTTGCCAGTTTAATGAAGGTATGAACGCAGGATTCATTGCCTGCAGTGGGGGGGGGGGGGGGGGGAAAGACGCTAGTGTGCTCTGGAATCCTCAAGAGTCAATGATAAGTGGGTCAGATGGAATTGAGAAGAGAAAATACTGGGGGCTGAGCTGGGCCAGCACAGCACTGAATGGTGCTGTGTAGTAGAGCATAATCAATGATGTGAACAAGTTCGGATTTGCTGAAAAGGAAACGAGGTAAAATAGCTAAATTTGCTTTAAGCAAATTTCTGTCTCTATCAGAATCAAAACAATGGATCTTCTTATTTCCCGTGGGAAGGGAGTTTAAATGTGCATTGGATCCGAACCTGTTAATTTTTTTTTTAATTTTGTTTAAACATTTTCATCTTTCTTTTCGTTCCGGTCAAAGAAGGTGTGCTGTAGTGGATGCCCTCATTTGACCTCCAAGGGCCTCTTCGTTTCCTCTTACATTCGTGGTGGTGTTCTGAGGACTAACTTTCCGGAATAAAAGTTTTCCTGATCAAGAGAGGTATGGCTGCCTGGTCTAGGCTGGTTTCTGCCTCCTTTTCTCGGGAATGCGGACTTATTCCCCTTGTGTCATGTGGCTCCCAGGTGTTCCTATCCACCTTCACCTGGGCTTGCCTGGTGTTTACCTGCTGCAAGTCCCAAACTGCTCTCCCTTTTAGACAATATTTATGTTGGCTAAATATTGGCACAAGGAAGTCATAAACGTGGCATGTTCACAAACACCAAGGCAGGCTGCTGAGCAGATGTTCTCACATTCACAGGCTCATAGTTTTCATTTGCGGACACTCGCAGTGACACCTGCCTTTATGGGCAGTGTGATGGTCTGTCCTTGTGCGGGTGCTGGTGTGCTCCAGGGCAGTGTTTCCCAAACTCTGCTGCCCATTAACATCGCCTGGGGAGCAGTTACCAATCCCCATGCTCAGGTCCCCATGCACTCAGACTCTCTGGGGGTGGGACTTGGACATCTGTGGTTTCTAGAACTCCCCAGTGTGCAGTTGGAGAACTTGTTCTCCAGTCCAGTGAAATCACTGGAGGATCTTGTTTAAAAATGTAGATGTTGACTCTGTAGGTCTGGGTGGGCCTGAGAGTCTACATTTCTAATAAGCGTCCTGGCAAAAATGTGGTTGCTGCCACGCATCCAGAGACCACACTTTGAATAGCAAGACAAGGCTGTGATCCTGTCCAGTGGGTCTTCATCAGCCTTGCAAGTAATTTTTCCAGAAATCATTAGTCTTCTGAAGTTTGTGGGTTTTTTTCCATATATATCAATGGACCCCCTCTATCTCACTCCCTCTCTATTACTCCACCAATTCCCTAGAGCCACGCTCTATAGCAAAGTCATCTCACTTGATCTCAGTACTCGCTTTCCCTCTAGATTTTGATTGTCTTGAAAACAATGCACATAGTAGATTGGAGTGTTGTTTGGCTAAACCAAAGAATATTTTTCTGTTGTTCTTATTTTTCTGTCTATGCACAAAGTCATTGAGCACACCTTCTAGGCTCAGAAGACTCTTTGAACATTGTGTGATTTAGTAAATGATAATAACCCAATATCTTATTACTGCTCCAAATAGACAAATCACAAACATTAGGTCTTTAGTTTTAAAAAAAAAATCATTACTGATGACAAAAGGATGGGGGTAAAGCAAAAAGAGTAGTTTTCAGTTTTCAGAATTGGCTAGTATTTCGTATTATAGTACCTTGGAAAATGTAATCATAGGCAAGACTGTTGGCTTTAGAGCAATGTTTGTCAAACAGTTTTCTGCAGAACCCTGGTCTGTGGTCATATTCTTGGGGATTCAAACCTCTCCTGGTAGGCTTCTTTAATAGCATAGTGAAAGCCAATAACTTAAAAACTAATATAAAGCATATTACATCATCAGGATGCCAATCATAACCAAGATTCATGATTTCATTTCCTGCATTTGTGTGTCTACTTATGATTGTATATTTGCCAAATAATCATACTTTAATTGTGCAGGATAAAGATAAAATAACAAAAAACAGAGGTAGGTTTAATGTATGCAAGAAAAGGCCCAATTATATTGCATAGAGTTTTATAAACAAAAGTTTATCAGTAGTTCGGACAGAGAAACGTGATAGGAGAACTAAGAAGTCACACAGCACATCATAGCAATCAGGACTGTTTTCACATTGAGCAAGACCATTAAATCTCAGCAAAATACCATCATCTATTACACAAAAACAAGCACATACATTTGCACACCACCAGCTTGTTTTACTAATATTTTAATTCTTTAAAATTTGTTTTGGTTATATAGTTGCTTCAGAACTATAAGTATTGTATTAAATTTATATTCAAATTATTTTAAAAAAAAAATGTTCTTACTGAGTTCAGAAAGAAGAAGGAAGAGGGAGAGAGAGAGAGAGAGAGAGAGAGAGAGAGAGAGAGAGAGAGAGAGATAAAAATATCAATGATGAGAATCATTCATCAGCTGCCTCCTGCATGCCCCCTGCTGAGGACCGAGTCCACAACCCAGGCCTGTACCCTGACCATGAATCAAACCGTGACCTTTTGGTTCATAGGTCCATGCTCTAACCACCGAGCCACGAGCCAGGAGCCACGAGCCACGAGCCAGGAGCCAGGAGCCACGATTCTAATGCAAGTCATTCCTGAGACAATGCTTTGTACTCTCAAAAAGCTTTGCATTACTCGTTTAGAAACAGTCTTCAAACAGATTGATTCTTGGGTGCCAGAAACCAATCATTGTCTCACTAATAGAAAGAGGCTGGTCAACCTTGAAGCTCTGAAAGGTCAGAATCAACCACTCCCTATCTAATTGAGACAATGGTAACTGAGGCAACTTCCCCATCTTGAAATCATGTAAATCCTTATTGATATGATAATCTGCTTATTACCTGCCTAAGGGCTGTGGGTGTTTCCCAAAGCTGCTTAAGGGGAATGGGTGTATCCCATAGCCTCAATAAAAGGGATACCGTGTTTCCCGGAAAATAAGACATCCTCTGAAAATAAGACCTAACGCATGGAAAGATAAAACACCCCCTGAAAATAAGACCTAGCGCAACTTTGGGAGAAAAAATTAATATAAGACACTGTCTTATTTTCGGGGAAACATGGTAGCAAGGCCAGAGCCTAGTGGTAGTTTTCCCACTAGAGGTTGACTCCCTTCGGCCCCCCACCCCCTCATTTTCCCAAATTAACTCTTTTCCAGTCTCTCTCTTCATTTTAGTGTGCGGCCTTCTCCAGAAATCGGGCCCTGAGTGGGCCCTGAACCACTTTGGTCGTGTTAAGGGATCCCACAGTTGGGCACACCTTAAATTCTGCTAGTATTTTCAGAAATGTCCTAGTGGCCATATTGTAGCCGTAAGCTCTGCATTTTAAGGCACTTTTAAGGGGACACTGTTGGAAATGTAAGCTCAGTGCCTACCTAGATTATATTTTAAAAAAATATATATATATATTATTGATTTTTTTACAGAGAGGAAGGGAGAGGGACAGATAGCTAGAAACATCGATGAAAGAGAAACATCGACCAGCTGCCCCCTGCACACCCCCTACCGGGGATGTACCCACGACCAATGTACATGCCCCAGACCGGAATCGAACATGGGACTTTTCAGTCCACAGACTGACGCTCTATTCACTGAGCCAAACAGGTTTCGGCCTAGATTACATTTTTAAATGTAGCTGAAAATATCATAACAAACGTTTTCTGGGGGAAATGTTTCTCTGCTTGGAAGTAATGCCTGGTGATGGCATTCCAGACTACAGGATGGCAGAGGGGCCGTTATGACAAGCAGTGGCGAGTGACACTGGGCCCCTAAGAAAGCCCAGTCACACCTGTGAATTGGAGGGGAACGTGCTTACAGGCTGATGGGCCTCTGGCTGTCCACTCCCTGATTGGCGGCTGAGAGACTGCACGGTTGTGGAGGGTGGGGTGTCTCCTTGGGGCAACTGCTGACTGCCCTTTGAGAGGCAGTAAGACTGGCTCTGAGGATGCAAAAGAGAAATACATAAAGATGCTAGACCACTCACAGAAGCCTGCTGCCCTGTGGGATTGACTTTCAAGGGATGAAATGCCAGAGGAGGGGAAGAGGTTTCAGTTTCTTTGAAAGATAGGCTGACTGGAAGGCTCCGAATCTTGGCAGGCATGTAACGTTATTTACAGACGATTTAAAACATAATGCCTCTCTGAAGAAGAAACTTGTAGGTTTGCAACCATATGAGTGCATGTTTAATTTATAGCAAAGGAAAATAAAAAACCATACAAATCAAGTTAGAGTTTACAGAAAATTTTGAGTTTTATTCTCTTCGCTCCTAGTGCTCACACAATAAATCATTTTTCTAAATTTATTTTATTGATTATGGTCTCACATAATTGTCCTTATTCCCCCATTCCCATCCCAAACCCCTCCCTAGATATGTCCCCCCACCCCCGTTGTCCATGGCCACTGGTTAGGCCCATATGTATGCACACAAGTCCTTTGGTTGATCTCTTCCCCTTACTCCTGCCCTCCCCTACTTTCCCTCTGAGGTTTGAGAGTCTGATCGCTGCTTACAATAAATCATTTTTGCTGTGGGAAGCCACAGGGTGTGCAACAAAACCTTATGAGAAGTCTTATTGTAATTTTACTATGACCTGCCTTGTGTATAGTTTGTTCCAAACAGTAGTATTTTAGTCAGTTGTTAGTTATCAGTAATTTAGACCCTTTTTTCACAGGAGCCCAGGTATTTCAGAGGAAAAGTAAAATATTGATTCCATTTCCTGTATATTTGCAAAATATTTGGATATTTGATGCTGTTTAGAAATAATACTGGAATGTTATCAGCTTTCAATTCAAGTTATATGGCCTTGTAGGAGTATCTTTACCTTGGTCTACTGATCTTTGCAAGAACCCTGTCTTCCCTGCAAAACTCTGATGATCAGTCTATGAGCTTTTGTGCATCTTTGCTCCTAACAGTGCTAGTCATTCATTCCACAAGTATGTATTTACCACTTTGCTCTCTGCAAGGCATTCGTTTTAAACACTTCTCTAAAAGAATCTTCAACATCGTCTTAATCTCCCTCCTTTTAGAGATTTTTGACTAATGGGGGGAAAAACACATTCTAACTGCATTTTAAAAGTATGGTATGCTGTTGTGAAAAGCAGTAATAAGGAGCATCACAATCATAAAGCATAACGTATTAATTATTTCATAGTTTAAATTTCTACACATGCTATATAACCAAAAGGAAAACCGTCTTCCATTCCCAAATGCAATAAATACTTACATGGCGATTGCCCATTTTCGTTTTTCTTAGATAGTTGTCCTCTGTTTTATTAAGAGATCAGCTCTCCTAAAGGCCAAGTTGATAATGGTTTTCCCAGGACATACTATCTCTTGAGTTTATAAGTAACCTTTGGCACTGAATTTGAATACATTGTTGGGGATGGGTAGGGAGTGGCCATATCTACAAATGAGCTTAACCTATCCAAGCTGCCTTGGCAGGCCCTTTTTATAATGAAATATTTATTAGTAAATCAAGTGTAGGCTTTTTACGTTTTAATACTCTAATCACAACTAAAGGGCTAAACCTGTCTCACTTCTGGGTTATTGAAAGTGTGTGTGTGTGTGTGTGTGTGTGTGTGTTTTAATTTTGCATGTTCATTTAAAATTTCATACCTTATAATATTCAAAGCACTAACCAGACTGAAAAATCTTTCTATTTTACTAACATCACTTTTATTAGAACAGAAAATCGTTTTGAGGGCTACACTAAGTTATGCTATCAATATTATAATTTAGCTGGTTTTTAAGTTTAAAAAAGTAATATGTGCACTTAGTAAACTTTTTTCCCTCATAATACGAAAAGTTATCATGAAAAATAACCTTCCTAACTTCTCCTCCCCTAGTGGTTTCTTATGAATATCTTCCAGAAATGTGTATGTGACTATTTGTTTGTTTGTATGTTATCTCCGGACTGCTTTTTTCTCTCTCAACAAATGAGTTTGTACAATGCATTCTGGTTCATATCTTGTATGCTTCATTATATTAAACACATATATGTCATTGGCATATTTCCCCCAGTGATCATATGGTAGCTTATGGGTATGAACCAAACCTTTTTTCATCAGTCCACTATTCAAGGTCATTTCCATTGTTTTGGTCTTCTGCATGACATCTGTAAAGACATCTATGTCCATGTTTATCCGCAGAATAAAATCCTAGAATGCAATTGTTGGTCCAAGAGTAGATGCATTTAAAATTCCAATAAATGTTGCCAAATTGTCCTTTACACAGACATAAAAATGCTCAAAGACCAGCTAACCTGAGGAGGCTGACTTTCAAAAGATAAAATGTATGCCCTAATAATATGCCAATGCGCATTTCTCCACATATTGGCCAACACTAAATATTATTAAGGTTTTTCATTTCTGCCTGTTTCAAAGATGAAATATGGTTACCTCACTTTTTAATGTACATTCCTTTCCTTTGATATTCTTAAAATCATATATCCCATTTTTTTTGCATGAATTTTTCTCTGCTTATGTCTTTTGTTTTTATTTTGAGTTATTAATGTTTTCATTATTTATATGCAACAATGTGATTTATAATAAGATTAGGGCTTTTGTCAAGTGTAACAATTATTTTGTTGTTTGTCTTTTGTCTCTGAGTACGTTTTGAGTGTGTTTGTGTGTGAAGAAAGTGTTAAATGTTTATGTATTTATATCAGTTGTTCCTTCTTTGGCTTGCTTAGAAAAACATCTTTGCTTTAATATGATTAAAACTTCTTGTACATTTTCTTCATGTTCTTTTAATGACTTCATTTTTTAAGGCTTACATCTTCGATCCATTTGGAACTGATTTTGATATAGAGTGAGGAAGGAACAGAGTCAGCTTTCATTTGGGTTATTCAATCGATCCTAGATAGTTAATAAATAATTCATCTTTCCTCTTCTGGCCTAAGATGCCATCTTTAGTTTATGCCAAAATTCCCATGTAACATCATATTAAAATTCTGACAGATTTATTAAATTCTGAGTGTATATATTCATCCTTTTGTTCCTTAACCTTTATCTGTTGAAAGCCTTTGGATGTGCTGGTTGCTGGGGCTACAATAATGAATAAGATGAATGTGAATTTTCTCTTCCCAGCACATACAGGCAAGTGGAGGAGCAATATAAGAAACACACCATTGCAGATTGTAGTATGGGCTATGGAAACAACAAATAGGATCCTGCAATAAAGGCTAGCACACGCATGTGGTGTGTGTGTATGTGTGTGTGCATGAGTGCACGCACAATTTACTTTAAATAGAACATGTGTTCTCCCAGGAGCTAATGTTTAAGCTATGGACCAAAGCATGAAAAGGAGTGCGTCAGTTGAAAGAGAAGGTGGTCCAGATCAAACCAAGTGTTTTTAGTTTATGCTAAGCCCCAGCAATAGGAAAGAGCGTTGCAAATTAGAAGACATGAAAGATGGTCAAAGAGAATGGAGTCTGTTGTGTGCCAGGCAGGGCAGGAGGGTGAGTGCTGGAAAGACGCTGGTAAACAAGACAAAACTCCCCTCCAGGAATGGAGACAAGAAGACAGAAGTTACAACTAACGCGTTGACCCTTTGGTATTACTTTGTCTTGAGTGTCTAATTTGTGCTCCGTCGATCACTGTCTCCTTTCCCCAGCCTCAGACTTCTCAGGTCCAAGTCCTCTCGGCCCCACCTCGTGAATCAACCTTTGCATCACTAGCCCTCCTAGAACCCTTTATCAGTGACGTCTCTCTCCCTCCCTTCCTGTCCCACCTCCCCCATTGAAGCTCAAAGTCCAGGAGGAACAGGGCGATGGGATGTGCAGTGTACAATATGGAGATAAGTTCTGTTCCAGGATGCTGGGCACAGGAAATGTGTAAAGAACAGACTGGTACAGTCCCTGGCTCCAGGGAAGTGAAAGACACAAAGCTTAGAGGCCAGGAAGAAGCTGACACACATTTTTATTTTTATTTTTCACCTCTTAGTTAGTCAGATTTGCCCAGAGTCAAGTTTGGAACTGACTGAAACACACTTTTCCTAAGAGCACCCTCTCCCTTTCTCCTCCACAGCTGGATGAGAATGTAGTAAGGGGCCAGGGAAATTCCAAGCAACAGCAGGGGAAGGAGAAGGCCTCAGGAGTTTCTTGGAGGATGTCAGGGCTGGAGGCCCAGCGGGAAGGTGGAGAATGCCTGAAGGGGAAGGTGAGAGATACGACAGGGGCAGAGAAGGCACAGAAGAGTATTCAGAGAGGTTTTGAAGTGTTTATATATATATATATATATATATAATTTTAAATGTTTAGCGATTCTACATTAACAGGTGCTGTGTCATATCTTTAATAGACTGGGCCCACTTAGTTCCACCTCTGGGATCTTGGTGGCTCTCACAGTGGGGATGGCAGCCCAGGTTCTCAATTCCCCCTAACCTTGTGGTCTCCACAGCAGGTCACAGACCCATCCTGCCAGAGTCCTTCCTTCCATTCCGCCTACCAAGGTGAAATTTCTAACATTTCCTTAAAATGTTACTCACACATCTGTTAGGAGTTAAATTGTACCTCCCTGCCCCTTGCTCCCCAAGACACTTTAAGGTCACAACCCTCAGTACCCCTGAAGGTGACTCTATTTAGAAACAGGGTCTTTGCAGATATAATCATGTTAAAAAGATGTCCTTAGGGTGGGCCCATTGTACCTGGTTTTTATTTATTTATTTTAAAAATCTCTCACCTGAGGATATTTTTTTCCATTGCTTTTGAGAGAATGGGGGTGGGGGAGCAAGAGCGAGAGCGACATCGATTGGCTGCCTCCTCCACACATCTCGACCAGGGCCAGAGTCCAAACCTGCAACCCAGGTATGTGCCCTTGACCAGAGGTCAAACCCATGATCCTTTAGTGCTAGGACTGATGATCTAGGCATTGAGAAGCACTAGCCAGCGCTAACTGGTGTCTATAAGAAGAGGAAATTGCCATGAAGACACGCACATACAGGAGAAGGCCATGTCATGACAGAGGCAGAGACTGGGGTGATTTAGCTACAAGTCAAGGAAGACCAAGGACTGATGGCCACCACCAGACGCTTGGAAGAGCCAGGGGGCGGGGGGGGTGGGGGTAGGGGTTCTCCTCTACAGGTTTCAAGGTGCCTTGCCTGCACTTTGATCTTGGACTTCTGGTCCCAGAACTGTGAGACAATACATTTCTGTTGCCTTAAACCACCCAATTTCTGGCACTTGGTTACAGCAACCCAAAGACCCCCAAAGAGAAGAGTTCAATGGGCAGGAGAAGGCAGAGCAACTGGGTTTGGCTAAGAAGTCAGGGGTAGAGCCAGAGTGGGGAGCCATCCCCAGGGGGAGTGGGAGTCTGGGGACGTGGGGAGGTATAGCACCTGGAGGAGAATCAAAGACAAGGGATGGGCTCAGAGAGCCTATTTTGGGTGGAAAGAAGAAAGAGGCCATCAAATGGGCCGGATGGAAGTGATAAAAACAGGATGAAACAAATGAAGACTAGGAGGTAGCATGAGATGCAGCTGCCTCCTCCAGGTCAGCCCTCACCTGCTTCATTATTTTGTTGCTTAAGGGGTTACACTGAACATTCTGCGTACTTAATTACTAGTATTCCTGAGATTCCTTTCAGCTCTAAAATCTCCTAAGCACAAGATGTTTTTTCCACACTGTTTGCTCTTCTTTCACTAGAAATAGCTTTTATGACCCTGCTGATTTGTGGGAGTAAACTACAGGGAGGAATGTCAGATGAAATTCTTAATTTTATGGAAAAAAATGGGTGCATTTAGTTTGGCTGCATTTTTGTATTTCAGGTATTTATAGGACAGATAATAAAACCCCCATGCCAAAACCAGTTTGGCTCAGTGGATAGAGCATTGGCCTGCGGACTGAAAGGTCCTGGGTTCAATTCTGGTCAAGGGCATGTATTATACCTTGGTTGCGGGCACATCTCCAGTAGGGAGTGTGCAAGAGGCAGCTGATCGATGATTCTCTCTCATTGATGTTTCTAACTCTCTATCCCTCTCTCTTCCTCTCTGTAAAATATCAATACAATATTTCAAAATAAAATAAAACCCCCAATGGGTAAAATCCTTCCCACCACCAGGAAATGAGAGTCCCTTTTATTCTGGGCTTTTCCCCAAATTTGAGTCTCACCCCAAATCTCCTTAGGCCTAAAGGGATCATCATTTTTGTTTCCCTGTTTACATATCCTTACCCCAAAATAGGACTTCCACAGCCTTGGGTGGCACTGGTCACATGGAGATAACGGCAACTGCCTTTCAACA